ACCTACGCCAAACAAAATAATCCTGTCACTAGCACAGAACTTCCAGCTTCTGTTTGGATTTTTTTTGTTTGTTTGTTTCTTGCTGTTATATATAATACAAATAGGGAGAGAATGATGAAAAATTGACCCAGGTCAGTACTGCTGGATTACAGCTTTCCCATGCTACGGGATTATGTCCCCAAATCCTAAAGGATAGCACTAGGAAGACACTTCGATGAGGTTTAATTGAGTGTAACTAAGGGCACTTGATCACACGTGTCCCTTCTAGCAAACGTAAACAAAAAGGGCCAGCTTTGCCAACGCAGATGGTCAGAGTCAGGGTCTGTACACCTTTGATCCTGAAAGCCTGGCTGTGGTGGCTGAAGTCAGTGTCACCAGCTTACAAGTTGCTTCCGATGCAAACTCAGGGGAAACTTAGGGGGGCTGGTTGGCTCAGTCAGTTGAGCATAGCGCTAACAACGCTAAGGTCGCGGGTTCGATTCCCGTTCGGTCCCCATGTGCTGCCTGATCTAGTCGAGAGGTGGCGTCCCTGGCGGCAGGGAGGCTGGATTAAAATCCCTGAGGTCCCTTCCAGCCTAGGCCATTCTATGATTCTACGAAAAGCCAGAATTACAAAGCTCTTCTCTAGACCAAGTGTCTCTCATAGAGAGAATTCACTTTGTAGAGGATGGTGAGAGTTATCTGAAGAGACGCTCTAAACTACTTGATTGCCAGACATTTCCGCACGCCATTTCTGCGGGGATTTGACTTCTCACGTGAGCTGGTGGAGCCCAGGGCTGTGCACTCCTTCCAGATGAAACCCAGGCACATTTCTGACACGAGGCCTGAAGAAACCAGACCTGCGAACGGCACTGGTGAGCACAGACAGAATTAAAATCTAAGCTTTCCCAAATGCAGCTTCCTAGTTGGGGCAGAAGGACTGGGCAGCCCTTATAGCTTCCAGACCTGAGCACGCTCCGTCCAGGCCAACTTCATCTGCTCCTCCCATGCCTTGTCCCTAAGGTAGCCAAATTACTCCCTCTCGATTCCACCCTGGTTTAGTATTTTCCAAATATTACAATTTGGTACTAGCCTTGATGACTGCCTGCATCGTAAGGCAAAAGCTCTAATGCCTTGAATCTTTATAAGGCAGGAAGACGAGGTGTTTGAAAGCCTTCATAAAATTGTAAGTAGATAGTTTAAGCATTTTGATGAGAATAGAAGGTTTTATTGTGATGTGACTGACAGTCTCTGTGAAGGGTATTTATAGTCTGACTCTTATTACTAAAAACACCATGACAGGTAGAACTTGATGTGGATGTATAATGGGGAGACGATGGGGAAATTACGAAAAAAAAGAGCTCATTAAACATTTCACTTTTTTAGAAGAGTTACTTTCACAAACAGAACTACAATTCCTAAGTGATGTGTCTGCCACTTAACACAAGCATTCTGGGGTAAGCTTGCTTTCTTTGTCTGGTCTGATGTCTGCTCTCAGCAAATGGAGAACAGGAGAAAACTGGTCTAAGGAGGAGAAAATAGGAATGAATACAAGAAGTGTGAGTTCATACAGAGAAAGAGAGAGAGATACTGGGAGGAAACCAAATACCCTGAAAAATCTGTCTTTGGAGCTGAGCTGCATACCCAGTAGAGGAAATCTACAGGAGAGCTGGATTTGCTGGGAAGAGATGCAGCAAAGAGATGGGGAAATACAAGAATTATACTGAGCAAGCAATCTTTTCATCCCAATGTCAGAGAAGTGACTTGGCAACCAGCCACCACTTGTAATTGAGTTCAGTGGGTACGTTCAAATTCCGAGATCCCAGACTCATTCCTTTCCGCCTCATTTGCACCGTATTTACATTATTTGATATCAGACATCATGAGGAGTCGCACTACAAAGTGCTTTGACATCTCCTGACAAATGGCCTCATGCAACGGCACAGTACTGTGTAAGTACATCAGCTGTCTTGATGCATACACACCGTTGAACACTTCTACTTCATGGCGTTACCAGGAAGATGCTTCATACACTCAGCTGCCATGGGATCCCCCCTGCACAGAGAAATACCTGCCCAAATGGTTCTGGTTTCTTAGCAAGCGATATCTTATTAAACCCCAGGATGAATTGCACCTCCCAGTTTCAAAGCAGTCTTTGAAAAAGGGATTCAGGCATTTAGTTTTTAAACCGTGTCAGATCTCACTCCACCTGAGCCTAACCATTTCCAAGTTATCATACCTGCAAGGCATTTAAAGTTCCTCTGCAGCCACAAAGGAACCATCTCCAGATGTCTATTGATTTCCACCCGAGAGGGACACCTCCCGCAGACAGGAGCAGCTCCCTGTGAAGCAGCTCCTTCTCTCCACTGGCTACGGAGAGTCATGGGTGGAGGGCACCAAGGTGGCTACCTCAGTACCCCTCACTTTTACGTGCAGAGACCAGAGATAACTAGCCTGGGAACACACCAGAGGAAAACAATCCCAAGATGAAAACCCCATCTCTATCCAGGGAACGTGGGCAATTCAGTTTGAACTCAAACAAAACTTGCTGCGTTTTTATTAAGTGGTGTATTTATTGTTTGGAGAAAGATTTCATGGTGCCTGAAACCTATTAGGAGTCACAAAACGTTTTTCACTTGACTCATCCATTAAAAAATTACTGAAAGCAAGATCTCCTAATAAAGGAAGTGTCCTTAGATGTCTAAACGAGGTAGATGAGCTCGATTATTTGCCCTCAGATTGAATTTTAGAGGTTTATATAATAATGACAGCTATAAATTGAAAAAAAAATTATGGCAAGTGTCTCAATGACAGAGAGTCTCACATGCGGAAAGGTGAGCAATAAATCAGATGAGCAGTGGAATATTAAATTGCTAATTTTAAGAGTTATTGCTGCTATTTTTTTTTCTTCTTTTAATACATACTAATATAAAAAGGTGAAACAAAATCTCAGCTACCTATTTCTTCCTCTTCTTTTCCTTGTCTTCTTCTTCATACAGTATGTATCTTGTTTGGAGAAAAAGCTACAGTTGCTTTGCATTTAACCACGAAATAGCAAAGAAAAATAATAAAAAATTAAGCCTGCAACCAGCTTCGCGGAGATGACAGATTAAATATATTTGATTATTACAGAGTAGGTTCCATATGCCCTGTATCTCAGAGTCATGCTCTTTACCAGGACAGTCTAATACCGAAGTGTATTGCAAGGGTACTGTGCACCCAGCCATACTGCAACGACCCAAATTACCGACTATACTCGGAGGAAATTTGAAATACCACTGAAGGCATAATAAAAAAGTCACAGGAAAAGTACAGTGGAAAAATTGAACACTGAACTGTATGAAAAATGAGTGAAAAACATACAGCTGTTCTATGCTTGCAAATACTTTAATTAGCTATGCAACATGAGTTATTTTACTGGGTTTTCCCAGGTCGCACAGTGATGCCTCCCTCCTCCTAGTGCCTTATCATGAAATATTTATGGCAAGTTGTGTTTGTTTGTGCAAACCACAGAAGTGTTACAATTCAGGCCCCCATCCAGCCCCTTCTCAGCATTTATCTTTTTTATTTGACATCTCGGTCTCCGTGCTCAGCCCCAGCTGTGCAAGTTACCACATCCCCACGTGAAAGGAGTCTCTCTCTCTCATATGCAGGTATTTTTGCCGTGCTTACAGTAGACTGAAGTTCCCAACCTTCTCCTTTGTTTTTCTCCATTCTCACACATATCCTCAGAATACTAATTTTCTGCGTAACCAACGCAATTGAACAATTTCTCGAGGTATTTCTAGCACAAATTCATATTAAGCAGAATAATCTGCCCTTCAGCAAATCCATGCCTTGTTGCTACGGTGCCTGTCACTCCACTTCACTTGTGCCTTAGACATTCCGGGGATAAATGCTTCACCTCTTCAAAATGCTACCACACAGAAAGGGAATGGTGCCATTTGGACACAACAGCATATTACCTAAATTTTTTAATGGCCTACTGTCCATGCAAGCCACAGGACAGAAAGAGTTCTATATTGACCCTTAGCCTCTTGTTCACTTGCAGCACCACAGAAATAATATGTAGCAATATCAGGAGGAAATCTTGGGCTGATTACAGCCCACAACAACTGGGAAAGCAAAAAATTCTGGCACTCAGGAATCTGTTGAGTGAGGTCTTTTTGCACACTTCATCTTGACGTAGTTCCTTTCAGAGTTTCCCACAGCTGTATAAACTAATGGCAATGGCACGTCTCTCTGCTCGACAATTCCAAAGCTCTTGCTAAGCTACCATGAAAGTTGTTACTGGAAAAATAGTTGCTTTTCTATGGTGTATGTTGGGTTGGACACAATATGTTTGTTAGGTTTTGGGTTTTTTTTCCCCCCAAGGACAGAAAAGTAACTCTAATGCAAACTGCTGTCTTTTTTCAGTAAGATTTGATTTGAAACTCATAAAATCTTGACCTAGCAGCACCCTGTATTCACCAGGAAGCCTTCTGAGAGGTATAGCAGCAGAAAATCACCACAGAGGTCGCAAATGATGTTCTGACATACCTTTTTCTAAAGCTGCTTCTCTCGATCCACACTATTCAAACCTTGCCTCCCATGCTGTCCTACTATACCAAGCTGTAAGGAGTGCACTATATAAAGTACGGCTCTGACAGAGCACACATGGGAGGAGCCCATGCTCACTCAGACTGATAAGCCTTCTCTCTCCAGCATTGGTAAGAGAGAACGATTTGCGAATTAACATTCAAAGGCTCATCATCAACTCTTAACCACAGACAGCACACTTATAAACGGTAACTTCCTTAAGAATGAGTCGGAAAGACAGGGAGGAGATTTAAGGAATGAATGAGATGGATACGAATGACATTGCAATCCTGGTTACTCCGAACCTACCCCAGCAACCCGTAACACATCACTGATAAAATTCACATCATGAGGAATGTACCAAATGTCACATACAATAATGAAAGTCAGAGAAGCTAAGAAACACATCTTCTTTATTGCATATAAATACGGAAGATACTTACACTTACAGGTTGACTTTTTGGCACATCATAAACACCTTCCTTCTTTTGGCTGGTAGGAACCTGCAACAGCAAATTAAAACTAAGGTCATTACCCAAGGAGGTTTGACGAAAAACTGGAATCAGCAATGGATATTTATGTAGAGAGTAGTCATTTAATACTAACGAAATCAAGGATGACTCCCCTGTCAACCAAACAGTACTACTAATGGAGAAGATACTAAAAATATAAAACATCTATCTGAATTTTTTAAAACCTAAAGCCCAGTAGTGTTCAGAAATGAGATTTTCATTCTCAGTTGCATTAAAGTCCAGGTGCACTTGGATCTCCTTCCAACTTAAATGGTTTCTTTTTTCATTTTACTTGGAGGTTAGAAGATGTACATGGAAGTCATGATCAGGTCAGTATGTCATCTTCCTCCTTGGCAGAGATCCAGAGAAGAGCTACCAAACTGAAGGAAAGAGATTTTTGGCCCACGGCATTAGATTTCTTCCTTCCAACTCATTTAATAATCCAAGTCAAGTGAAGTCATAACATGTGACGCAGGGATGGGGCCCCGCGGCTGCTCTAAGAGATGTTTGGTTGCAACTCTGCAATTTTACTACGGAATTACCGGCCTGTCAGAGTCTGACACAGCCTGGGAGTTGAAAGCAACAGCCACGCTCACACCTGGGACGACGCGCTTAAAAATTTGGGCAAGTCTTTAATTGAGTCAACAGTCATGACTTACACCTTGGGCTTTTGTAACCTGCTCATGTAAATTCCGCTGCTTTGTAATACTGGGCTTTGCTTGCCTAAGGACTGCTGGTTTACGCATTTATAATTTGTGATTGCTTTTCTTTTCCTTCCTAGAAGCAGTGAACGACTATTGTAAATGACACAAGCAAAAAGAACAGTAAAAACACGCTGTAAGCTGGCACGAATGCTCTAAGCAAATCCGTGCTCCTTTTCCACTGCACAAGGGCATTCAGTATAAGAAGGTTACATTTCAAGTACTAATGAAACCTCACAGGTCCATAAGACAAATAATATTGCAGATATAACAAAATTATTACCTTTTTTGCTTTCTAAGGCAATAAACAGAGTCCTGACATTAGAGTAAGACTGGTTTAGAAGCAGCAGAAGGATCTTAGTTGCATGTGGAGATGTGCTATCATTTCTTATTCTGTAAAATGTATCAAAACCTCTCTCCACTGTTCAAATATTAACTTGTCCATGTCTATGTGCCAAAGTCTTCACAAGAAACCGTGCACCTTTAACTTGGGACACACTGCACAAGTTTGTCAAGAGCATGAGTGCAGAATCCTCACAAAAACTGAATGAGCTTCTATTCCCATCCCAAGAATGTCTTGCTTGCCTTGGGTTTCTCACAGCCACTTCCACTAAAACTACCTATCACATCAGATATGTGAAACTGGTAACAGTGAACAACTCAATTTCATGGAAATAACAGTTCGTAAAGAGAAAGAGCTTTAAATGACAGTGTAAGAGCAGAAACCGAGAATGGTCTATTTAGCAAGCCACTGGAAAGCTTAGTCTTCATAAAGAGGGCAAACATGGTAAGATAAACTATTTATAAACTGTTGTCAGGGTGTATTTTTCTTTTCTCTCTGGCAAGCTTCCCCTTCAGTCACTCTCCTCTTCCTCCTTTCAACTTTTCCATGAAGTCATCCCAGTTTGCACACTCTTATCCACAGCTTATTGTAGAATGGGCATTTCCCTACTCTATTGATCCTCCTCTTTTTCACTCCGGCTTATACTTAGAGAAAAGCTCCGGACTTCTACTACCAAGACAGAGAAACTTTTCTGAAAGACATTTTCTCTCCCAACTCGACACCGTCTGTCTCTTGCTGTCTTGTCGTGCATCATCACACTTCTTTGCATCGCTACGTAGGCTGGGGGTCTGCAAGGCATTTCTCATTTATTTTCTTTGATTAGAAATATCACCAAAGAGGTTCTACTGCTGCTGACAGCTCCGTCTCTGCGACAGGCTGTGAACCATTTGATGGACTTGCGCCTTACCAGCAATGCAAGCATCGCAGCTCAGAAATCCCCATATCTCTGTCAACTCCTCGTGGAGCAGAACTTGCCTCTCCCGAGAGCAGCGCTGCTATATACACAATACATAACAACCTAACAAAAACCCATCCCCACCTCGCTAAAACAGCAGGCAGGAGAAGGGATGCTATTAAGAAATTTGACATTAGGTGAGAGGATTGTACATGCTCAGTGATCAAGCCCTTGCCTAACTAACACATTAGAGTGACTAAGAGACAACGTTAAAAGAGCAGACAGACGCAGACAGTCTTTGGGGTAATGCATCAAAGGAAGGTGAGAGATAGAGAAAGAGTGCTTAAAAAGAAAACTGTGACCTCTACTACATTAAAAAGAAATGGAAATTATCACTTTAGGCATGTATCTTCCATCTCCATCTACCCACCGGGTAGGAACCTTTCCCACCAAGGGAGAAGTGAATTCTTTGCGTACGGGCTCTTGGTTAAAAAACAGAGCAGCACCACAAGCAAGATTTGGTGAGGCTGAAGCGAGGATGCATGAGGTTACTGAGCAGATGCCTGTTTACTGAAGCGTAGTATGGGGAAGGGTTTATAGTAAATAATGGAAGCTGGCAACAATTTGGATCAAACTACAAGAAAAAAAAACACAACAAAAAAGAGGACCTTTTCTAATGTAATTTTTAATAGTAGCTTGGATGGTTCTGAGATCATCAAGATCTTGTAAGAAAAGCAATTTTGCTAGTGATTTAAGATCTGAGCTGTGGGAATCCAGATTTATAGCAAGCCAAGAGCTCACGGACTCCATGGGAACTAGGAAGCTCACAGCTCTGGACAGGTCCATGGTAGTGATGCTGCAGCATCTCTCAATGACAAGAGGTAACAGAAAAAGACTCCTCACTCCCTAATCTCAGCATTTTCTGTATTCAAGGCATTGCCTGTAGAAAATACAGAGGACAATACTAGACCGCATATACTGAGAGTACGGTGTACTCATCACAGGTATTTTCCGTGGGAGGAAACACTTCATCACGGGAAGATCCTGTCAGATGAAGCCTTGAGCAATCCTCTGGTGACTTACAGGACAGTAATAGCAACCCTCGAGATGAGGCAAGATCTCACTACCTGCTTGTCACGTCCTATTTCCATTTTAAGAAAAAGAAACTATCCTAACAGTTCCCCTGTTCTTTAGGCCTTTCCTCAGAACACAGTTCCTACTTCTTTCCTACTAACCAAAGTCTATTCTAAGACCTCCAAACACTGGGAACGATGACTCCATCTTGCTTGCTTCCACTGGTACTTCCCTAAAACGTCGCTCAAAGCTCCATACTTAATGAACAATGATCAGATTATTTCTTTTGGTCTGAATGTAGTTATCGTGGGATTTTTGCTTGTAGCATAAAACTGCCAACTGGAGTAGTAACTTTCTGACAGATTGCTTTCCTGAAAATCATCAAGCTTTAAACACAATGTAGTAGAAAATTGTCAACCTTAGGCACAAACTCACCTTGAGAGCTTTGCATGTCTTGGTCTAGAGACACCGAAAGATGCATATTCTAGCGTGTGTGGCAGGGGTGCCCAGAAATCAAGAGAGACAGCCTAAATGAATCTCACCTTAATGACCCTCTGATGGGGTCTAAGTTTATTTTCTATTAACTTGCATTTCCTTTTCCCACTTAGCTTCTTTAGCTCACACCTAGTCTATCCTTTCTTTTTTTCCCATTATCTTCCTGTATTTTCTCATGGCTTACAAAAATACTTCTTTTTTTTCCGTTTGTTTGTTCTATCCTTCCTCCTGTCTACTTTAAAAAAAGCTTTTCCTATTACCAGATCAACCTCTAGCACAGCTAGATGAAATGCTTAATCACTGCTTGAACCTCCTTCCTCTCCATTCTAAACGATTTCCTCAAATCATAGTTTTCTTAGAGTATACAGAGATTTCTGTCTATCTTCAGATTTGCCTCTAGTATGTGATACAAAATGAATTACATTATATTTTAATAAACCCTGTACTCATCCCTTGAGGATAAATTGAATGACAAAAGATTATTTTATATTGCTTTCAATGCAATTTTTTGTCAGTGTGAAGAATGCAAGCTTGGGCTCTAATATAACATTACGCACTCTGAAAATATTTTCCCCAATCTGGGGGATTTCCATTAAGAGCTCTTAGGTTTTGCTCAGTTATTTCCTTGGTTAGGCAGAAAGAAAAGCAGCACCATCCAAATGTCTTTCTAAGAACTGTCTGGATGGGCTCCTCTTCCAAGAGATTTCATCATCCATTTCTCTGAATGGGTGTAAAAGGTTTCAAAAAATCAACCTAAAAAAAGAGAATCTGCTATTTATTGCCTTACACGGCATAACCAAAAAGCTTAAGACCCTTTGTAAGTTGACAAAGTTAATAAAATTTGCAGAAGCTGAAATTACAAACAACAGGGAAAAAAAAAATCACATTAAGACTGGGCAGATCATTCACTTCATGTCACCCCGATGAAATGCCAGATGAATGAAAACTAACAAAAGTGAACGCTATATGAAATGTACTTTACTAAATGCTTGCAGTCGTTGCAATGAAAACACCGAAGTTAGCGATTTTATACCTGATAAATGTTTTCTTCCGTTTCAGGCTCACGGATTGGCTCGTGTCCAGCCTCAAACACAATGTACTATTACACCAGCCGCCAGAGAGGAAAAGTCAAAGATGAAACAGAAGGGAAAAAGGCGATTTGGAATTCCACGTAAAAACACAGGCAGGCATTAAAGAAACAAGTTCAAAGTACAGGCTGGCAGCAGGACAACTGGTTTGCTGGAAAGCGCAGAGTAAGGTTGTTTCATATTTCATAAACCGGCAATGACTAGACCTAAATCTCCTCTAATGATCATTAGAGCAACTTCCTAATTCTTTCTCACTAGGGAGACCGCCTGTGGCCCAATATTAATTTTCTGAAGTCAACGTGAATTTTGCCTCTTTTACATAATGGCAATTATTTCCACATATATTTATTATCTATGAATATAAAAGCTAAATCCAAAACTGGAAGAATAGGCTGGTGCTCATGTTAGAGGACACATGGCAAAAGGCTGTCACAACACTTTTTATTTTTGGGTTCTTGCTTTATTGTGAAGAGCACAAAGTAAAACTCCTGACATTATAAAAGCTGAATAGTAATTTAGGGCATCCTAATTCTTATCATCTTCCTTGATGCACCTTAGGCACTGTTCTGTATTTGCTAATGGTTGAATTAGTTTCTTTCAGCGTGCCTCCCACTGACACGCCTAAGTGGAAGAAAACAAAATCTCCAGGAAAAAAAAAAGTAAGCTATCGTTATTTTTTTTCAGCACAAAAAAATCAGAATGAAATTACATCTTTTTCTTCTTCACACTCAGTAGGTATTGGACATGATTATACTGATATATTTCTGATAATCATCTTTGCTCTCAGACATATTGCTTGGATGAAACAAGGCTTAAATTTCAAATGTATTATTAAATCATAGCCCAAACACCAACAAGGGAGTGTGTTTAAACATCAGTTCAACTGTTGTTTTTTCCCCAATATTCACTCTCTGAATTAAATTCTGGCCCCATAGAAGACAAAAACAAAATGTTAATTTCTTACAGTCAGAACAAGACATCACCTTCCTTATTCTCAAAGTAACTCCCTTCTCAGTTAGACTTTGTGTTAAAAAATGATGACAAATCTCATTTGGAAACTTAAAATCTGGACTCACAAGCCACATTTTAGGAAATATTTCTAACATACAATCTAATATTTCTATGCTTCAACCAAAATATTCTGTTCTATTCTATTCTATACAGATATATTTTGCTATCACTTGAAGCTTAGTCTTTAAATACACTACTTTCTGTAAAAATCTTAAAAGTTTCTCGGAAAAGCTATCTCAGTAAATTTCAAAACATGTTAAAGGTTTTGGCTGTGTTTGAAGATAACATATATCTAGCCATTTCTGAAACTCCAAGGCCATATAGCTTCAGAAATTACCTGGTATACAGGATCTTCTACATCTTCTTCCAAAATTGTCTACAGCAAAGTAAGAGGACAGGCAGTAAAAGCAACGAACATAAACAGTAGAGATAAAAGAACTGTATTCAGAAATTAAAGGACAGCAAAGAAACAAGCAAAAGCAAAATGGGCAGGTAAGTATATAGTTTCCTTTCTCTAGTATGGTCACATTATTGTACAAAGGAACTTTATCCAAATTTCATTCTAGTTCAACAGTCTGCACTTTATTTGATCTGATTCAGACACACTCAAAAGTACACTCAACCTTCCCTAAACTACTCGACACTGTTAAAAACCTGACTTACAGCAACACTGACCTTCATTAAAGTTTTCCTTCTGAATTAGAAGCAGCACTACGCGGTAAATTAATAGATCATTTCCAGTCACTACCTATGTTCACCATAGCCCAAGTGACAGCTTTCACCCGTTTAATCCTACTTCTGAGCTCGCGATGGCTGTCACAGTCGTATTTGTCCGTGTGAAGCTGGCACCATTCAAACCCACTGCTGTTAAGAAATGCTGAGGATGCTCGGTGCCTCTTTGGAGCAACTCTGGGGCACACTTCAACCCAAACTTTTCTTAGCAGTAGTCTAAGCTTATGCGTGTACCTGGTATACCGCTTGTTCACACTGTTTGTCCTTTTGTGCCTTTTTTTCCATTTCTTCCCTTTGTTTCAGCTCATAGATGAGTTGAAACAGGTCTCGCAAGTCCAGAATGACAGGTTCAGCCTATGGAAGTAAAAACAGGAATGGAAGTTTCAATGGAGGAAAATACACACTTCTTACTAAGTCCTGCTGATGGAGCAGTTACAGCATCTCCACAACTGGAAAGAACCATGTGCAGAATTAATTTCTACCTTAGCATCTAGGCTTGGGTTAATTTCTTTTCAACTAACTATATCTGCAAATTATTGATAATTATGAGTATAAAAGACTTTATGAATATAAAAGACATAAATATGCTTTTATACGCAGAGATATTAGTGGTTTATCATACAATGGAATTGCAGTAGACAATATGCAAAGTAGCTATTTGGTGTCTGTCACGTTCTGTTTAAATGAGTGTAAGAATATAACCAGACTTACATGTATCCAGTCTAGTTTAGTTGGAAAGGAAAATGATAACTCATTGTAAAACAATACATGACGAAAAATCGGAAATAGTGAAATACATTCCCTTTCTCCCAAGCTGGTTTCATTAATTTGCTATTTAAGATCGTCTCAGCAGACACTTGTGACAAATCTAGTACAAACATAAACAATACAAGATTGGCCTCCTGAACAGCTTCTTACGAATGTACCTTTTCTATCGAGTTACAGTGTAGAAAATGACAGTGATTTGATACTTACTGCCTGGGCTGTTTTTATTGCCACAAATCTATGATTTCCCTCCTTTCCACACACATATCCAAACGCTCGATGGTCTGTGATATCCTTCGCAATGTATGAAATTTCATGAACTGCATGGTGGTGCTGTAGTAGCTATTAAAACAAAAACACAGTAAGAAATATCCATTAAAATGTTCCAGTAAAAAGTAGTGTAATTTCTCTTTCCTCAGTGCCTTACCGGGATCTCAATACACCTATGGAAGTAAAACAAGCAAACATATGCTGGTATCAAAATCAATTACTCTGTGAACTCTTTATGCATGTTCTTTTTTTCTAGCCAAACTTGACTTGCTCTAATAATTTGACTAAAAGCTTCAATCGAAGATTTTTGTTGGTACCTTTTTGGCGAGATGTAACTCAACAGAAAATATCACGTTACCTAGTTACCACCTACATGGCATCCTAGGTACAGAATCAATATTTGTAGGTCTATGAAAGCAGTAGCAGCAGCTCCTGTAGCTTCATAGAGGGCGACTCTAAGGACAGACTGACCTGCAGGGGCTGCTGAGCTGGACCCCAGATATCCAAACTCTCTGAGAACTGGCAGCAGACTTACTTCATCTCTGCAAAACTCGGCATCAGCCCGCAAGCAGGCTTTCATTTAAAGCAGTAACAGAACTCCAAAAACTTACTTTTCCCCAGAAGATTAATGAAAATGCACTGATTCAACTTGAAATCAACGCTAAACGCAAGTTCACATTTTATTTACAATCCCACTTTGGTTAACTGTAATATTAAAAAGACTCAATTTTGGTTTAAATGTATGAGCAAAACTCTTCCCCTGAGCCAGGACATGAATATGAGACTCCTCTAAGTATGTCTTGCAGTGCCAGAATCATCCTTGCTTCAGCTTAAATAGTATTTTATTACCAAAGTGATATCTCAGTATTTCTACTTAGAATAACGTCCTTGAAAAGCTTATCTAAAACAATCTATTAGTTCGAATTTCTACATTCTTACATATTGACCTGCTCTTATAGCATCTAGGGAGAATGCTATTTTGAGAGCAAGCAAAGCCTCACAAAGAATTCTTTTGAGGTCCAGAGGTTTTGAGAAAAGCACATTTTGAAAATCAGCATGGTACCCAGGCAATTGCTAAACAACCAGTTATTTTTAGAGTTTTAAAAAGAAAAACATATTAAAATTCAAAACCTGAGAGGATGTGTGTGTGTAGAAGCACAAGGGCTGAGCGCATGCAGGGCGAGTGACAAGCGATGAGACTCTGCAGAACACAGACCGAGGTTTAAAAGGAGAGGCAGCGTGCTCAAGACTGATGACTACATATAGAACAAAAGACTGGACGTGTTTCATTTTCATTTCACAGTGAATGACTCCTAACTTCCCAAGATCAAGATTGCTTGCTTGCAGGAAAATGGAAGCGTTGCCATTGACTTCAGCCAAGCTGGAGGTGCACTTCAGGCTCTCCCATGTTAAGCGTTTAAAATTAACGATGGGATCTTACTTAGATAATACAGGGATATTGATTTATTATGTTTTTCTGAAAACCAAGTTGCATGCTATCTGTCACAATGAAATGAAGTGTTCCCATCTCTCTACTCTGCATATGACAGGTAACGTTATCTCTGGCTCCTATTAAATCAAAGTTCTTTGACATTGCTTTATTGATTGCAAGACAGCATTTTGCACCGAAATTAAATTGTGATCAGATTCCTTCCTTGTGGAACTAAATTTGAAGATCATTCTACCGCGGAAAAGTATCACCTACAGTGTAACACACCAGATGGAAACACTCCAATTTATTTGAGAACCCTCATTAACCATTCAAAAATCATTGCATTTGTAATGGTTATGATGTTTTACGTATTGTATCAATAGAAGTACAACTTAAGTAAAGGTGACTACAGCATTATCCTTTTACGTAGTTTACTGTATGGAGCATTTAGCAAGAATTTTTCATTTGCTTGAGGGACACACAGTTGGAACACAGACATGAAATGCCATGTTACACACACATCTATACTTAAATGTAGATACAAACACTCCTTCCAACCTGCGTTTTCACAACCCTTAGTTCATCTCGTGTCTTTTCTACATATTCCAATACTCTATTCTAAATAGTATTTAAGGAGTGTGCGATTCTTTGCTTTTGCAGAGTAGAATATGAAACTCCTGCTGCAGTCAGGAGAGATTTACCACCAGGAAATGCAAGATCAGAACAGCATCCTGCCTGCAAATCTTTGCTTTGGGCACGCAGCCTGCCCAGCGCCCCGTGCGGCCCTTTACCCGCAGTGAGACGTGCTCTGGAGGGAAGGACAGCAGAAGTGACAGCACGAGGAGAAACCCCATCTCCTCCAACCACCCAGCAGAGACTTAGAATCAAGGCTATCTATAAATATAGGGTCTTTGCATGGTTTGATTAGATTTGTGTCTGATGCATTTGCACAGATTAATCTGTCCTGTAAAATGAGACCCAGCAATGGAAATGACATCTTCATCCCTTAGTTTGTAACTGCTCACGTGGCCACCCCCTCGATACTCGATATGAATAGTCCTGAAAGAAAATGAAGCAAAATCACTTAGAGCAGAACTGCTGGCCAGTGCTCAACAGTTGACATTCACAAGCTTGTCTGTCCTTTCTCCCCAGCCTCTATTAATTTTTTTTTTAGTTCTTTTTAAATATCTTCAAGGCTTTACCTTGACTTAACCCCATCTCCTGTGGGTCAGAAGCACAGAAAAGAATTATTTCATAACTCAGGAATGTTTATGACACCCCTGTATGCCCATGCTGATGGACTCCATCACACACTATTTGATGTTTTTTTCTTTGATGAGTGCTGCTACAAGCCATTTACTAATTCATAAGTGAGGTATCAAATTGTTTTGGAGGGCTGTGGTAAGATAGAACAAATTATAGAGAAGACTTAATTTGCATTATGGTTCAATACAGTCAATTAAATACTGCACAGATTAGAAAGTAATTTAACATTTAAGCTTCAGTTGTTAGAAAAGTCCACTGTACACAGCCTCTAAATTATTGTAAGTCTCCTGTGGCTTTAGTCGCTGTTGCAAACGTCGAGAATTTTAAATGGAAGCACAGATAAAAGTCTCAAACTGGGCAACAGATAATCTTATGATGCACGAGTCCTTCTTTTTAAGCTAAACATGACGTCATTATTAGATTTTATTCATACATCAGAAAGTTAAGTCCAAAATACCCACCTTCACCAAGGCCGCTGCCTTCCCTCTGCCCCTTAATTTTACTCCAGTCTCTCCCATCAGCCATTATTTTCTCTCCTTTTCTCCTTTCTATCCCTCGCTTCTCTTCCCCCAGGTTGCTCCCTGTACATCACACTGAATTGATTTAGCTGCCTCTGAGATCTGTAGCATTTCTAATTTCCCTCAGGCTGCTCGGCACCTATCATAAATTTTTTCACCCCTTATCCTCATCTTGCCCCTTTATTTTCATGCTGTAGCCTCCAGTGCCACTAAATCAATTAAGTCAATCAATTAAGTACTTGGAGGGTCCAGCAATCATGTCAAATATGTGAGTTAGATGGCATGAGAAAGTCACTGCTTTACTATCGCTATTTCTCTTTTAATGAGCTTGTCTATTTAGTGGAGCCTGGGGCACAGTGTTAAGAGCCACAACAAAAAAATATCCTGCAAGCCGCAGAGCCGCCTATAAAACCTGCCCCACCAAAAGTGGGAAGCTACAGTATTATATCCACAAGGACAAGTTTCACAGGGATTTAAGCTGCACAGCCTTTCACCTTGAATAACTAAACGGTGAGCCTGTTCTCAGAGAGCTGGCATCAAGTAGCAGCTCCACTGTTACCACTTCCACCCCATCCGTAGCGGGATGTGGGCAACAGACACAGCCCAAGCACCCTCTGCGTGGCTGTTCCTGTCTGTTCACTTCTATCACGTTTGAACATGCAGTAGCACGTTTTGCGCGTCACATAAAGCTCCCTAGACATCTAAGGGTCTCCCCAAACTGCAAAATCCTGAATGGTACTGTAATAAAATAACTCAGTGGACTACAGTTTCAGCCATGCTGCTGTCTACCTCCAGGTCTCCCATACTCCAACTGATGGCAGCACGTTAGGAAATCGGGCCCTGTGTGCTTAGGAAGATGACTGAGCAAGTCACAGAAACTGAATCTAATATGGAAAACCAAGGCAATGTCTTAACAGCAAGCCAGAAGTGCAATAGTACCACGGGCCATTATTTAGTGCAGCACGTTAAGTGAAAACAATGAATTGTAAAACACGTGAGTGGTTCTGAGATAAAATTAATCTTATTGCTGCAAGAAATGCTGCGGTGGTACAGATGTGTGGCCAGCTCCTCCACTACACCGAGGAGGGTGCTGTGGTCCTCAATAGAGGTCAGGACACACAGACCATAGCACTTCATCAAATGTTCTTCATGGCCATTTCCTCACAATTCCTGACTGGTTTAGCTGAGATTTTCAAGGACTGTGGGGACAAAAACCGGCCACAAGTATTTTTCTAATTGCCTGTGTTTGTGCTGCTGCTTTGTTAAAATGCCCATAGTAGAGGTGGTTTGGAGCTGCTCATCTCCATCACAAACACCCCACAGCACAAACACACACTTAAGGAGCAGACATGAAACACCTACATGCTCTAGAGTTGCATATTCACATCCCAGACGTGTCTTGTTTTATAACCTTCAGACACGGATGGAGACCAGTTCCCTGTACGAAGACAACTAGAAAAACCTCACCCAAACCCCTAGTAAGCTGGCATGGAGTCTTCCCTGGTACCCATGAATGGATACCTGTTAAGCAGTCGTGAACCTTTCGAATTCCTTTCCCCCTAGAAACAAGGGAGATCGTGTACAGATAATTTGGGGAAAAAAAAAAAAGCAACAACCTCAAATGTCACGGAAAACGAATCAGTAAATCACATTTGCACCACAAACCTTCCCGTGTTATTTTTTGGATCTTGGTATTTGGGCGGCAGATGAGGTGGCAAGGTATCAGCCTAGGAGACATGCAGAGGACGAGTAGATCCCCTAACCACTGTAACAATTTAACGTGAAATAGCCAAGAGGAGACAGCATTGTGTGTGTCACAGCTACAGTTACCTTCAGCTCTGAACTCCCTGGAAATTACTACTGGACACAGCACAGGGCGACCGAGCAGGGGGGGACAGAGCTCATCCATTCCAAAAGCCAAGCCTCCCCCAACACATCCACCCACCGCCTTTCCCTGCCTCCCACGCATTTGGTGCACCTTTCGCTGGTGTTTTGAGTGTTGCTGATGTGTAAATGAAGAGACAGAACTTGCAGGTTGCTGTCAGAGGCAGCTAAATCCAACCTGATAAGGCTTTGCAACACACCTTGTGGCTTTATCGCTGCTGCTGCAAGCTGTGGTGCTACTGCTGCAGCCTCCTCTGCCTCCAACACGCAGATGTTTTTCACTTTCCTTTTTCTTTTCTATTATCTTGGCCCATTTTCCAAAGATTAATATGAAAAATTGTTCAGATTTTGTTCTGGTTGGTCAGAATGGCAAGAGGGGAGCAGTTCAATACAAAAAGAGGAAAGGAGGGAAAATAGCACTCACAAGAGAAACAACTTCAGAAACTGTGTGTTTAAAC